AACAGTTATTTTAAACATGTTTCAACATTTTTGATGTCTTGAATAATCTATAAGTAAGATATGTACTATTTAGATTAATATGTCACTTGTATGCATTGCACTGTCTTGAGATATATGTGTAAACAGTTTGAAAAAGAAACACATCAGATTTGTCAGAACATGCGAGTTGATGCCTATAAATATTTTAAAGATATACTATGCTCATCCTCGATTAAAATATTTTAATCATAAACATTAATTTTATTTTATGTAAGAAATTATTACTGACCATGACTAATTTGAATAAAAGAATAGATAAAATATGTATGGGATGCTGTGTTCCATATAAGAGGTCAACTAAAGTTGGTCTATTCTTGATACTTTATTTTCATATTTTGACAGGCTTCAGTGTGTAAAATTTTATGTAATTCCTTCCGTATATGTCCAAGGTGAATAATAGAATGAATAAATAATGTATTGGAAGCTGCGTTACATATGGTACCTACCTACCTATCCTCTTCATGCCAAGTGGCACATAAGGCTGAAACCAGTTTCTCCATTTTGGTCTGTCCTTTGCAACCTTCTCTAATTCTTCCCAGGTTTTTCCCATCTTTTTAATTTCCGTGTCTATGTTTCTTCTCCAATGTTTCCTATCTGGGTCTTCCCTATTTCTTTCTTTCCCTTCTGCTGGGGTCCCTTAAGGGCTATCTTTGTGATGGAGTTATGCTCCTTCCTTATTACGTGGCCTAGCCATTGAATTGTTTTTGCTTGATGGTGGCGATTATAAATTTTTGGGCCTTCTTTCAAAAGAGATCACTGTTAGATATTCTCCTTGGCCAGTATATTTAACAAATTTTCTTTAGGCCAAGTGGAGTGAAACCCTTTCAATCTCTGACTGTCTTTCTGTGTAAGCCTCCAACATTCTGAGCCATATAACAGAATGACAAGATGTTGCTTTGGTACAGTCGTACTTTGGTTCTTTTTTCTGATGGTGTGGATTTTTATTTTTTTAGTTTTATAGAAGGCCCGTTTAGTTTTTTTTAGCCCCCGTTTTAAAATGTCCCCTTTTTTTACCCTTTGTTCCCTTTCTTAAAAATGTGAAAAGGGATGTAAAGGGCATTTTTCTTCCCTTCCTAAAACTCTTTCCCCAAATTTTATTAAAGGGTGACCGGGTGAAGTTGATTTTTGGTTTTCTTTTTTTTTTAAAGTTTAATTTGATCCCGTTTGATTTATGTTTAAAAGGGCATTTTTTTCTTTTTGGGAAGGGGTTTGATGTTGGGGGGCAGAAGAGTTTTTCAAACTGGAAAAACAAAAAACTTTAGCATTGATGTTAGTGCCCTCTTATTCCCCCTTTCGTTTATTCCTGTTGTTTTTCTCATGAACCCAGTTCTATTGCAACTAGGAAAAGATCGGTGACATGATGCATCCTTGGCGTAACTTCCACTTGAAATGTTAAACCAGTTTGATATATTGTTGTTATGTATTTACACTGCATGAGAAGTTGTTGTAAAAAACATTTTATTATGTGGACAAGTTTTTCTGGACATCCATAGGCTGCAAGTTATCTTCCATAGGCTTCACGATGGATGCTATCAAGGCCTTCTCAAAATCAATGTAATTTATATGCACTTTACTGTTCCACTCAATGCATTGCTCCATAATGTTTCTAAGGGTGAAAATGTGATCGATGCAACTCACTCCAGGTCCTGAAGCCTGCCCTGCTCTTTTTCTGATGTTTTCGTCCTATTGAACTACCTGAGTCTCATACATAAATCTTTACAGAAGATTTTACTTGGCACAGATAACAAGGTTATGCCCTTTGTTGCAATTTGTCTTATCTACTTTCTTTGGAAGCTTTATTACCAATCAGGCCTTTGCAGCCCAATTTGGGTAGCATTTTCAATTCCTAAAAATTTTTGTTGAAAAGCTCTTCAAAGTTTTTCCAGCTAAAAACTTAGGGTCCTGATTTTAAATTCTGAGTAATGTTGTCAAATCCCAGGTGATTGATTGTTTTTTTAAGCATTTTTTTTAATGGCTTTTTATTATTTCGTCCGTTCAATTTTTGGAGGAGGATCTATATCTATAATCCGATAAGTTCACCAAAATGTTCATTAAATTTCTGGGTTAGTGTTTCTGGAACCCTGGTCTGTTAAGAACTTTCTTTAAAGTGTTTTCCTGCCCATCTTTTCAAGTTGTTTTTCCCTTCTAAAAGCTATTTGTTCATTTTTATTCTTTTACAGTGGAGGTGGTCACCCTATTAAACTTTCCTGCTATTATTATGATATTCGGAAAAAATTTTCCCCCTGTTGTCCTTTTCTTGCTGCCTTTCTGTCATTTGCCTTTTTTGAAATATTTCCTAAATTTTTTTCTTTTTTAATTTTTTTTTCTTTGCTCTAGAGTAATCAAATTTTTTAATGATTTCCCGTTTCAGGGTTTCAATTTTTTCTTTCTGCCTTTAAATTTTTCTTTTTAAAAAAGTCCAAATATAAGTTGGGATCCAAATTTTTTGTTCCCGATCCCCGTTTTCCCTCCAAATATATTTTTTACTGGTTTTTTTTGATGTATCTCAAAATGTTTCCAATGACTTTTTTCCCCATCCTTTTATATTGAAATTTTGGAATCTTTTTTTCTCAAATGTGATAGGAAAAAATTTTTTTGGAAAAGGGGGTCCCTTTTTTTCTTTGTATAAAATATCTTATTTGTTTTTTTAAATCCCTTTTTTTTTCCCAAAATGGATTTTACTTTTTGCAAAAGTAAAAAATGATTTTTATGATAACATCTGCCCTTCTCGAACAACCACAATTTTCCTAGTGAAGTCTAATTTCGTTAATAATGAAATGTGATCTATTTGATTACTGTTCTGCCATTTGGGAATATCCATGTTTCTTTTTGGTGTATTCTCTTATTGTTGAAAAAAGTTGTTCCGAATGACAAGTTTGTTTAATTCCATTTATCTGCTAGTCCTTTCTCCATTTTCATTGATGGTAACACATCCATAATTTTCATAGATTTTTCCTCTTCCTCACTTTGAGAAAAATTTGGGCAAATCTCAATAATCAAAAGTATGTCATGTACTGGACCTTTTGCAATGGCTGTTTGGAGCTGTTGATAGAAATTATCTTTTGAATCTTCCTCTGCGTCGTTTGCTAGGAGCATAACAGACAATGATGGATGTTTTTACATGTCTGCCATTAAATCTTGCTGTTATTAGTCTTTCATTTATTGGTAGCCATTCAATAAGACTTTTCTTTGCATAGGGTGTCATGATGATTGCTACAACTTCTCTATGGTTGTTATCTTCTCTTCCTGAATATACTATAGTGTTTTGGGAATTGGTTGTTATCATCCCATTTCCAGTCCATCTACTCTCACTTACGCCTAGTATTTGGATGTTGTATTTATGCATTTCTCTCTCTATCTGCGCAGTTTTACCTGCTTCGTACATTGTACGCACATTCCATGCCCCAATGTAACAAGATTGCTTTGGACTTAATAATGATGGCCTAGTCGTGCTTTGAGCAGTCATTTGTCCAATTCTATTTGGGGGACCATCATCACTATCCTGATAGTGGGTTTGTGTATGGTTTTCAGTTTCCGTACCTAAAGTTGTTTTTACAGGGTGGAGCAGTTAACACCACGCCTAACCTCCACACTGTTGGGCCGGGTTTTCTTTCAGGGTTGTCCTTCCCTTAGATGGCTGTAGTTCCCACTACGATGAGGTCCATCTCCCCAGATTTTCTGTTTGGATTATCTTCCATAGCCTTTGACTTTCCCAAGTCACCCACAAGGCAGTGGGCTATTTGACCCATAGTTGGGGTAAGGATGATGAGTGCTAGGGCATATCCACACGCCGGTGGGCCTACACACTGCATCTCTGGGGCCCTTTCTGCTCCGAGATCTCCTTCAATTTAGCCTGAGACACTAGGCCTCAGTTACCGTGCATTTCCACTAGGAGGCATTGAAGGAGTCTTGGTAGTGTAGAGGCTATGTACTGGCAGGAAAAGATTTACGCACTCGACTCTCCCTTTCACCTACAAGTAGGTTAGCCAGCGACAACAAAGATCTAGAGACGTTAGATCCATGCCGTACTAGACGCATATCACTACCCTGTGGTGTTACCACCACCAATGCACGTTACATATGGTAGGTCAAGTAAATTGTTTTCTTTAAAAAAAATGTTACATCTCATATTCATAGTATAACAACCTATAGTGTGTAGAACATAACTTCTTTGTGTAAAGTCAAAACTTGTTAATGTTATATTTACAAAAAGACTGTGTAGCAATTATCAATATTTTCTTATATTGAATTTCAGCATAATATGTCTTTGACAAATGCGTTATACTGATTTGTTATTGTGCAAATAAAGCTAACAAAATCTTTAATAGTCTTTGACTGTGTATTGTGTAATTCAAAAAAAAACAATAGCCTTACATTGTTGTTTGATGAAAGAGGTATTTAGTTAGCATTGCAAAGCTCTACAGTCAATCTTATTTTCAACGCATATTATAAATAAACTGTGAACAAACACTTTTATTGCAATAACTTTCAGTCAGCATCATTTGTTTTCAACGCAAATTATCAAGCTCAAGTTATGAACAAACATTTTTATTTCAAAGCACTAAGTCAGTATTATTTTCAAAGCAAAGCATTAAGTTAAAGTTATGAACAAACATTTTTATTTCAATGCACTAAGTCAGTATTATTTTCAAAGCAAACCATTAAGTTCAGGTTATGAACAAACATTTTATTTCAAAGCACTAAGTCAGTTTTATTTTCAAAGCAAAGCATTAAGTTCAGGTTATGAACAAAAACTTTTATTGCAAAGCTCTTTAGTAAGTATTATTTTCAAAACAAATTATGAAGTTCAAGTTATGAACAAAGACTTTAATTGCAAAACAACTTCAGTCAGAATTATTTTCAAAGCAAATTAATAAGTTCAAATGATAAGCAGATATTTTTTATTTAAATGTAGAATCTTACCTTCTAATTCAAATAACTAAAATATTTATTCATTAAAAAGACATTTATTGTACAAGTGTGTTTACAGAAGAATAACATATTTGTTAGAAAGGTGTGTAAACAACAAAATGAAATAATACGAACAGTAAACAGCGTATATGTTCTATAAACAGCCTATTAATACCGAGTTCCTGAAATAAAATAAAATACATGAAGACATTACGGCAGTCGTTATTTTAGTAGAAAACTTTCATATGTTGCAAACTGAATACTGTTTAAACGGTGCTGGGTTCTTAAGGGATATTGACTTTCCATTATGTGTCCTCAACAGGCTCAATTAAACCGAGGATACAATTTCATTTCTTGTAACTTTTCATAGTTCTTGAGGTGGCTCTCCTTCTTGACATTATGGTATCTGGTATTCATCATTTTAGGACAAACAAAACAAGTATAAATGCTACAAATCAAATATAAAAACCTTAAATTGGCAATCCTAAGACAGATTATGTTGCAAAGTTCTTTTCGGAAGCCTAATGGTAAATGCATTCATTGATCAACTTGTGAAGGAAATCCGTCGGTAAATATCATCTAAGCCATGTGTTCACAAAGAAAAGATCAGGATCAAGATCCTTTGGTCATAGTTTGTTTTGTTTTGTAAACTTACATTGATCATATTATGTTACATTATTTAGCTAAGAACCAGATGAATTTTGTGATAAAGTTAAAGAATTACAATATAGATTTCATGTTGCAAAAATAACTGGATCAAAATAAGGATCGATTAAAAACAAAATTTGAATACTTTTTTTTTATAAATCCGTATATTTTGTAATGTAATTGCGGACGTTTACTAAAATTTTAAGTCATTATACCATTTTAAAAAGAAACAAATATAAAAAAGATTAACTTGGCCAGGCGACGGTCACAGAACATAGCCCCAACAGAACCGCCACTTTGGCAGGGCATATAAAAAGCACCCGACCAAAAAAAAAAAAAGAAAGAAAGTGAAGAAAGGAAAAGAAAAAAAAGCTATGAGGGCAAAAGTGCAGGATAAATGAGTGGAGAAACACGCCAATAACTGTAACAATACAATAACAGAAATAATAAAAAGGTCTAAAGGGGCTTAAACGGGACAGTGGTTGGGTGTAGGGAAAAGAAGGTTAAGGAAAAAAATTGGAAATGAGTGGAATGAAATTTAAGGCCTTATCCATATGACAATTATAAGCACATCACAAAAGAGACAAAACATGTTACAATACCCACTGTATTCTGTTCTTATTTAAGTTGATAGTTGATATTAAATCTATGAAAATCACCAAAAAAAGAGATATTTTAAAATATATATTTTGATACTGACATTTGTCACGATTCTTTTATCTTCGTGAACGGGGATCAATGTACTTAATTCCGAATCCGTATGGCAACCTAGACAATCTTGTTAAAAATATATATATGAAGACGATTGCCTACCACAACTTACACAACTGACCAGTTATGAACGGAAAATCAGGCCAGTACAATAAAAGGTATATACTTGAGAAACACAAGTTAAAAATTCCTGACGCTAGTTTTATGAAATTCTGAACCAAGAAACAAATTTACAAAAGAAAGCAAATCTGCATTAGCTACATTCGTATTAAACCGCATACGACGGCGTCATAAGTCGATCAATTTAAAGTTAGGTTTTTGGCTTTGTCACACTGCACTTTAAGTTCAAAACCTGCCGTCAAGAACCTTGGATTGTAACGAAAAGAAGCTTAGTAACAATCATACGCAGCTTTGGTGGTTCCAATCTGGTGCCCGCTCTGACAAGAAGATGCAGCGAGGGGCACCTTTAAACTTGGTAGTTAAACTATTTTAATTAGCATAATATAATCAATATAAGTTTCATAAACAAATCACGATCCTGATATATTTTTGTACACACAGGTCTTGAATGATTTTCAACGACGGATTTCCTTTACACATGGACCATTACAGTGTTGGTGCGACTTAAAAACCCAATTATTTAATCAAACAAATAGATAAGACTTACGTTTACATGGTGCTAAATGACAATCAAACATTTGTATCGAGCTACCAGGACAGTCTTCTTCATGGCCTGTGTTACATCTTCTTATTCCAGGACGTGTGCCACTTCCGCACGTGACTGAACATGCACCATAAAACCAACTTGACCACGTCGGCGACACTTACCAATATAGAGAAATATTCATTATATATCCTTTAGGAACGAGTATCTTTTTGACTATGGAATTAAATTTTCATAGTTGTTTCTTATACAATGTGTTCATCTCCAGACTTAAAAAGGGTCAAACCCCTGTATGGCACTTTGTCCTTAATAACAACCAAATCCGTTGAATCATACAAATTACTTGATTGAGAAGTCTTTCTAGTATAATGTATGTCAAAGCATTGTACAAAAAATAAGCATTGTCAAATAAAAGTTCATCGTTTTGAAAATTAAAAGACATTTTATATAATATGGTCATTAATTTAAAGAATAATATTATAAAATTTACAATCTAAGAATTCAAGTTTAATGAAAACATGTGTATGCTCATTGTCATTGAATCAATTTCGACAAAGCTATAATAGCTATTCAACTTTAGTATTAACTAACTGATTAATACCAGATTCGAGTTGACGCTTTATGTTACGTAACATTAGAGTGGCACAGCTTTGCCACATTAATATATTTTACACAAATATAACTTTCTTACGTTCACAGTTATCTCCGAAGTATTGTCCCGGACACTCACAGCGGAAGTACGGGCCTGAGCTTATTGGAATACATCTTCCACCATTCTGACATGGTTTTGTGTCACATATAGGTACTGAAATAGCTTTGCTTGTTAAAAATTATGTTCAGTGTTCATGAAAAAGAATAATCAAATATTAATATTTTCAATAAAAGTTAAATATTTATAAAGTCGATAAACTTTAAAGTTTAGTATAGTCAATAAATGTTAAGGTTTAATATAGTCAGTAGGCCTAATTATTAAATATTAATATTGTCAATAGAAGTTAAAAATTAATAAAGTCAATAAATGTTAAAGTTTAATATAGTCAATTCATGTTAAAGTTTATATAGTCAATAAATGTTAAAGTTTAACATAGTCTGTAGGCCTTAACATTAAATATTAATATTGTCAATAGGAGTTACATATTAATAAAGTCAATTAACGTTAAATATTGATATAGTCAACGGTAATTAAACATGCATGTATTTCTTAAAGTAGAGCATGGTAGCAAAGAGAATATATATGTTCAATAGAAGTCTAAACCATTTGCAAGCGGTTTATAGACACATATCTGAAAGTAGAACATGACAGCAAAGACAATATATCAACAATTGAAATCTAGACCATTAGCAAGCGGTAGATAAACATATTTCTTAAAAGAAAAACATAGCAGCAAAGACAATGTACATGTATTGGCTATTGGGGTCTAGACAATTTGCAAGCGGCCGATAAAAATATAGCTTAAACAAAACAAATAATGTCAGCAAAGACAATATATTGACTATTGAAGTTTAGACAATTTGACAAGTATGCTCGTCAAGTTCGGTTGCCCGCCCTTTGAGAAAGGGAATACGAGTTATATAGAAATTCTTGTAGGCTTAATCAAAGAACATGATAAAAATAACACAGACGTTTGTGAGTAACAGTTTAAATATGATCGCAAGAAAAATACTGTTACCAGAGGCGTTAGTCGTGTTACAGTATTTTTACGAGGGATGCTATTTGTGTTGTTACTCACAACCTATGTGTTATTTATTTTATTACACCCGTAAAAAAATTATTAGGAGACTGTTTCTATAGGTTTTTATTTTTCCGATTTTATTTTACGGTGAATTTTTCAATCACATGTTACACTTGAATGAACAGTATGAAAACACTCATTGGCCTATGGGAAATTAAATTACAAAATAGCGAGGGGTACTAATATATTAAGTTATTTGTTTGTTTGTTTTTGGTTTTACGTCATATCGACAAAGTATAGGTCATATCGCGACGTTCCAGCTTCACTGGTGGAGGAAGACCTCAGGTGCCCTTCCGTGCATTATTTCAGGCACGAACGGGCACCTGAGTAGAACCACCGACGTTCTGTAAGCTAGCTGGATAGCTTCCTTACATGAAAGAATCCAAAGTCCCTATAGGGGTTCGAACCCACAGCGGTGAGGGGCAAGTGGTTTGAAGTCAGCGACCTTAACCACTCGGCCACGGACGCCCCACAATATAATTATATTAAGTTATAACTGATACATAATGTATATAAAATGATGAAAATATCATTACATTCACAATGGCGTCCTAAAAAACCACCAGAGCAGTTACAATGATAGAATGGAAACATTTCCTGGTGAATACATGTTCCGTGTGCCCCACATTGCTTCACATGACATGCATCTATAAACACATTACAACCAAAATTAAAACATCATTAACTAACTATATACATGTAGTTTCAATCAAGTGATCAATCAAACGTGAATTGTGAAATGCTTTAACAAATGTGTAAAGGAATAAAAGTGTAAAGAATGGAATGTGCTTTACAAACGTGTAAAATACTGCAAAATGCTTATACAAACATGTGGCAATTAATTCTTAAACAGACGTGGAAAGAGTGGAACAATGTTCACAAAAAGGTGGAACAAGATCATCACAAAGGCGGGGCAATATAAGCCTGAATGTAAATTTGTTTTAGTAACCAAAATTGGTATTTCAATTAGGGAAGAGACCGAATCAAGAAACTAGAAAAATTATTTTAATCTTAATTATTTTTATGATACTATGTGACATTTAGGTAGAGGCATTTTTATCAAGGTGCATTTTCATAGATGCAAATGCAGAGCAAATGACTCCCGCGGCTGGGCCAAATCTGACTTGATGGTCATTATCAATAACACTTTGAAGAAATCTATAAATGTATTCTACATTTCAAATATCTAAGCTCTAAATTTTAGTTTCACAAATACGACTTCAACTGTTTTTCTATACAGAACTATATTATTTTTTTTTAAAATGCCACAAAACAACAATGCTACACCAAAGTTATATGTAAGGCCACGTGTTAACATGGAAAAACTAGATTTTGGGTAATTCCAAGATTCGTCATCATTTTTTATTAACTTAATGACCCCGCGGCAGGCCAATATTATACCCAGTGGCATTATTAATAGCAATTATTTAGTGGTCAACAAAATGATATCACATGCAACATATCTAAGTTCTTGGCATCGTAGTTTCTCACAATATATCTCAGATGTGTTTTTTCTATATAAGTGTATGTAAATCAAATGACACCTGGGGTTGGGTCAATATTAAACGAAGGGGCATGATTCATGTCTGCTTTGTTAAGGTCAATAAGGCACTGCTAAATATCTAAACTTTAAACCTAGTAGTTTCACAAAATGAAACTCAAATGTAGGTTCCTATATAAGTCTACATGAATCCAGTTATCCCCGGGGTGGGACAAACTCTGATCTGAGAAAGCCCAAATCAGAATTCTGCACATATTCTCATTATAAGTAGTTTTTTCTGCAAAAGTTTTTTTTTCTACGGGTTCAAAAGATAAAAAGCCGACTTGGAATTTTGAAATTCATACATTTCAAAATGATTTAGCACGACCTTAAAATTGACCTGAGGAATGTCAAAGCTATGGTTTGCACATTTGCTCATTATGGTTAACATTTCTGCCAAGAAGTTGTAATTTCTTTCCATCGGTTCAAAAGATACAGACCAGATACGAAACTGCTTACAGACGGTCGGACAGACGACCAAGTGTATAACAATATACGCCAATTCTGATTTTTGTCGGGCGTATACAAATGGAAACACGGTGATACAAATGTATAAAGAAAAGAAAAATTCTTAACAAACATGTGAAGATTTGAGGTTTGAAGATGCTCAAAAAACGTGTAAAGAATGGCCAGATGCTTAAATCAACCCATAACAAGAAGTAAAAGGTACTTTGAAATGCATTGTAAACATTCCAACAAACTTTACAAAGAATACAATCAACAATTAAACATGAAATGTCACTGTAATAAAATGAATTAGAAACATTAATTGAATATGATTTAAATAATATTTGTATCATGGCGGAATTATAAGTTTATTATGCAAGCAGATACATACCTAGTTCACAGTTGTCTCCTGTCCAACCTAATTTACAATTGCACGTGTAATTTCCAGGTGAGTTGACACAAGAGCCTCCATTCTGACATAATCCGTCATTGGAGCACTCGTCAATGTCTTAAAATAAATGAGCTGCGTCATGACAAAACCAACATAGTGGGTTTGCTACCAGCATGGATTACACAGGGAGTACAAATCAAACGAAGGTCATAAAATACGACTTAAAAAAAGGAAAGAAAAATGCAGGTTTGATTTGAATAAGCCATTTCCTAACTTTTATTTAAATATACTGCATAAAGAATGCCAGGAACATTTATTATACTGCAAACTTCCTTTGACAGAAAAATTGAGCTTCTTCATGAATTGACAGCAGCCGTGTATACACAATTATATAAACGTCACGATTATCCAATAAAAAGCCACGTTACAAACGCGCATGCCAGTAAAAGGCATGTATTCCTTCAAAATTCAATGTAATATATATGTTACCTATGTCGCAGTGCAGACCCATCCATCCACTAAAACACTTGCAGTGATAAGCGCCCATCGTATTGTTACAAGTACCTTTGTTAGAACAAGGATTTGACAGGCATTCGTTTACATCTGAATAAAAAAACAAAAAGCCAACTAAACATGGTCTTTGAAAACAATCTCATAAAAATGTGATTTAGTGATCTATGACGTAAATACGCGCGTAAGAGCAGTGTCTTTCAATGACGTTAAGTCATGCGCAGGGCGTAATAGTAATCATATCACTGTGTTGGTCTAGCTTAACCCTTCACTCCATATAGACGTGTTTTGACGGCTTTTCCACCCCCACTTTTTTGAGGCCTCAAACAGTGAAAAATTACCTTATTTAGGCCCGAAAAAACACTGTTTTTTATTAAGGAAATGTTGCTAAGATAGTGATCATTTTTTCGGCACCGCCCCTATCAAAAAGGTACATCAGGGGGTTGCCAGAAAGGGGATGTGCCAAGAACATTTTGGACTTGAAAGAGGCTTAAAATGACCCCAGGTCGATCATAAGGTTATGTGTAACCAACGCTGAAAAGCCATTGACTCTATCTCAATCCATTGAGAAGTTGCCGCACTTGGAAATCAAATTTGATTGAAAAAATCAAAGCGAAAAGAGTGATTTTTGGGCAATTTTAAGATGTTCCTTCGTTGCCATGGTAACAGGAAATTTACGATTGAGCATGTCGTTACAAAGGCAACAGTCTAGTCAACATGTGTGCCAAGTTTGATTAGTATTGAAGCATTTTTCATAGTTTCATAGCAGTTTGAACTTGTAACAGTAGGCTTTTCAATAAAACGGCCATTTTCTTAACAATATGCTCACGAGGGAAAGGGTTAAGCAACAGTTTAAAATCAACAGAATATATTTAAGATAATGTTAATTTTTTTACAAAAAAAATAACTTTGTTAAATGTGTGAACGAAAATGACAACATTGTGTTTATAAATAAAAATAAAGTTTTGCATATTTCTTTTGGATGTTTTTTTACCGAATTCACAATTATTCCCAGTCCATCCTACTTTACAGTTGCACGTGTAATTGCCCGGTGTATTGACACACGTGGCGCCATTTTGACACAAACTACCATTTGTACACTCATTGATGTCTGAAATTAAACAATAGCAGGGAAGTAACGAATGGTTCCAGAAAAAAAATATCCCAAAAAATCGCTAATTATTTTATGTTGAGAAGATAATTGCATAATCTTGGTTAGACCGAAATACCGTATTCGTTCTGTGTATTCATACTATTGAGTTCGAGGTCCTTTCCGAAGACTTACGGAAATGACCGAAAAGTTGCGATTGTATATTTGGAGTAAATAATTATTGAAACATTATCTAATAGGCATGCATTAGTATCAAGGTTAAACAAATAATAATCATATGAACCGCGCTGCGTTTGCAACCAGCATAAATCCAGACCAGCCTGCGCATCCTCGCAGTCTGATAAGGATTCATAATGTTCGCTTACAAACCCTATTACAAGTAGAACATCATGGATCCTGATATCAGTCTGCGCGTATGCTGGATCCATGCGGATAGCAAAAGCACCATGTTAGTTTTGATTTTGTCATGGCGCGGTTCATATAGCAATGCATAGGAACTTTAAAAATCAAGACTTTAAAAATGCTCAAAAAATATAATGCATTATACATAGTTTCGGGATATTATTTCTAAATCAATAAATTATACCTAATTATAACTTGACGTTGATGAGTTTTCATATTAAAAATACAAGCTTTTATCATTTAATCAAATGACGTTTGTGCTGATAGGGTGTGCTATTGAATTCAGTCAGACATTGATTTTCTTCTTAACGAAAAGGTGGTTAGTGTCATTTGACCCCTGTTGCATTGTCTGAAATAAGACTTGCTTTATAATGGTAAGCCAGGCCTCGAAGTTATAAAGAAATATTTGAGTTATGTCTCGAATCTCAGGATTTTCATCGGTCAAAATATATTCTGTGTTGATTTCCGACCAATCAAATACCTGAGATCTGAGATTGTGCTCATTAGATAAATTTATAACCTCAGATCGAGATGTTTAATGCAACAGTAATATATCAGGCCCAAACGTGTAAGACTTATGAAAAACTATTCCTATGTCAATAAAGGAGCTTGAAATATGTAAAAGTATGAAACGTTACCAGTGGAGCAAAGTTTTCCGGTCCATCCGATAGCGCAGTCACATGTGAAGCCACCAGGGGTGTTTATACAAGCTGCTCCGTTTTGACAAAGCTTAGCAGATGGAAGGGTTTTACACTCATCAATGTCTTCAAATAAACAACAATAACAATAAACAATAACAATAAATAACAACAATTAATAACAACAATAACAAAAATAAACAAAATGAAATAAAAAAAAAACAGAAATAGACAACAACAATAACAAGAATGAACAACAATAAGTAACAACATTAAAAAGAATAAGCAACAATAAATAACGACAATTACAAGAATAAACAACAATATATAACATAAATAACAATACAAAACAACAATGAATACTTCATTAAACAAATTGTCAATATTAAAAGCTAAGATTGGAAATGACACTGTTTAGAATGTAACAGACTTTCCCTTTATTGTAGTAGTATTGGTTAATAATATATGGCGGCTGATAAACGCCATGTCGTATTTTCGCTTCTTCGCCTCAAAATGCGAAAATGAGAAAACACGAAGGAGCGACAAAGTTGGACTTCGTCGTTTCTGCGTGTTTTCGCTTTATCGCATTTCGAGACAACAAAGCGAAAATACGACAGAAGGAGGGCGAAAATACGGCACATACATTCTGTCGTATATTCGCATTCCATCTGTCGTATTTTCGCTTATTCGCGTTCAAAATACAAAAATGCGAAAACACAAAGAGACGACATAGTATCACTTTGTCGTCTCTTCGCATTTTCGCCTTTTCGCATAGTTACATTTTCGCATTGTTACATTTTTGGTTTTTCGCATTGTTACATTTTCGCATTGTTGCATTTTCGCTTTTTCGCATTGTTACATTTTCGCTTTTTCGCATTGTTACATTTTCGCATTGTTGCATTTTCGCTTTTTCGCATTGTTACATTTTTGCATTGTTATATTTTTGCATTTTCGCGTTCCGGTTGTGCATGCGCATGGAGACATCAATTCATTATTTAATAGTCCTATATAAGATATGTTGCATTCACGTATATGTATAATTTAAAAGTATCACCCCTCTCCTTACACATGTAAAATAATTAAATAATATAATGGTAAGGCTTTCAAATTGTTTTGAATCAATTAATGCAACATTTATTATAATAAATACAGTAATTTGTTCCTACCATCTTTAGATTATCAGTTTATTTTGCCGACGGGTGTGACATGAGATTTACGATAAAGGCACTGCCCGCACACATCCTCAGCTCTTTAAAACAAAGATCTCTAGAGGGTCATTCTGTCTTCCCCATATTGCACGAATATCAATAAAAGGAGAACAATAAAAATTCATAGAAAAATTCAATAAACCCTAAAATTTTATTTAGATTTATATTTTTAATTTTTTTTTGTGCTTTTTTAATTTTACGGAACCTTTTAAAGCAAAAGGAAAAATTAAAAATGGGAAAAAATCCATTTTTTGCTTTTTCGTTTTATTTTAATTTAAATTCCCTTTTTTATTGCAACCGGAAAGAAAAAAATTGAATAAAATTTGGGAACCCAAAGGAAAAAGGGGGGAAAAAAATGCGAAAAAGTAACCCAAAAAAATTTTGAAGAAAATAAATAAAAATTAAATAAAAGAAAAAAAGCGAAAATGTAAAAAATGCGAAAAAGCGAAAATACACAAATTTTAAAATGCGGGAATTATACGAAAAAATTTTATGTTCGAAATTTTTGCCCTCCCTTTTGTGTTTTTTTTGTTTTTAAACCCTTTGAAAAAGCGGAAAAAATGAAAATTTTTTGTCTCTTTGGTTTTTTTCGCTTTTTTTGCATTTTCGAGGCAACAAAGCGAAAATACGACACGGCGTTAATCAGCCACCATAATATAAAAGCTGATTTAAGCTAAACTTTGAAAATAATTCAATTTCATTCATGTACAGATGTTAAGATATATCTGCTGATGGCAGTCAAATTGCAATGTGCTCTCTTTCCAAATAAAATAAATCCATACAAATATTAAAACTAAAAAAAAAGAAAAAAAAGAGGTTTTGTATATGTAATTGGCTGATAATGAGTATTTCGTGATATGTTTTATCAACGGGACATCACTAAAATATACAGGCCATAATATGCATCACTTTTTAGATAGGTTAACTCAGACTTTCTTAATGCCACAGTGTCTATGTTTTAAAAAAGCAATCACCCTTTAAGAAATACCACCTTTTTTCCTAGGGAACTCCATTTTTTCAAAAATCATACGTAGATTTACATATAGGCAAACACACATAAAATACAATAAATATGGATAACAAGAAATGCAATCTTAATCCAAATTTTAAAGTCCCTTTTATATCTCTTTCATGATAAGAATGTAACTTTTTGCAAATTGAATAAAAGCAATTGCCAAAACCAGTATTTAATTATAAAAGTAAATAACAAATGCATCTACCTGTTTCACAGTTTCTTCCGGTCCAACCTTCCGGACATACGCAGTTGTATCCTCCGGGAATATTGGTGCACGTGCCTTTATTCTTACATGGATTGTTTAGACATTCATTTACATCTAAAGTATGATTACAAAATATTTAGCTTTGATTGTTTTGTTTGTTTGTTTCATTTTACGCCTTTTCACAACAATATTTCAGTCATATAGGCGGTTAGTTTCCTAACCATCGTTCCTGGAGAGTAACACCAGAACTAGACTACCTTCCTCAGTGCTAAACTACCAAAGCATATCCCGGGGATTGAACCCACGCCAAAGAGGTAACTTGATTAGAAGTCATCGACTCTAACCCCTAGACCACGGAGGCGGTAAATTTTTTAGCAATATTCATGTAAAACACACCAGAGTAATTCCTGCTTACATGCAGATGATGTTTAGCACTTGATAAACTTTTATACATCTACACATGAAATATCTAGTTATTTGTATATGATTAACTATAGGGGCGTCCATGGCAGAATATTTAAATTCATCGACTCCAAATCCCTCACCGCTGTAGGTTCGAATCTCGTCAGGGACTTTAGACTTTTGACCATTTTTGTAAAACCTCTCCAGGTAAATAACGTAACATCCTTGGTTCTATTCAGGTACCTCTTCGTATATGAAATACGAATGAATGGTTGGGCATCTGAGGTCTTCCAACACGAAACTGGAACGTCGTCATATGACTTCATACAGCATTGGTTGAATAAAATCCAAGCTGTTGCTCAATGAACAAGATTTTTTACACTCATTGCTTAGTACTAGTGTGTTCCAGGATCGGACATTATGGTGTTTCAATAAGTTAACAGTTCCAACATAATGAAACTAAAATCAATTCATCTAATCAAAAGGTTTGATAAAGCCTACCTCTGAAACATATTGGACCTGTCCATTCGTCAGTACAAGTGCAATAGAATCCGCCGTCGAAGTTTGTACACGTACCGTTATTAAAGCATGGTGATTGCATACACTCGTCGACGTCTGTAGTGTAAGCAAACTGACATCATTATTTGTGTGCTGTTTATTCCTTATGAATGTATATTTGTAATATCTTATGTTTTATAAATAAAGTAATATTGTTGTTGTTATTGTTTTGTGTTTTTATTTTGTTTTTGATTGTTGTTTTTTGTTGTTTTTTAATAACATGACATGTATCAGGCGTTTTGAAAAAAAAGTTGAATTTACTATGTGTATCACGATACTTTGTTTTCTCGTTACTAACGTGTTTGAACTTAAAAAAAACATTTTATCTTGTTCATAGATTAAAAGAGAAAAGAAAATCAGTGACGAAAAGCTGTGCTAAATCATATTGCTAATGGTCTAAAGAAATGACCTTTATCAATTCCAGGAAAATAATAAATGTATAAATAAATAGGTAATCGATTACTCAATCAATCAATCAATCATCAATAAATCAATCAATTCATAAACTGATAGGGAGACCTGCGCTGCTTTAATAATTATCTTATCAAGCAAGATATAGTTGTAAAACATGTATGCCCCTCCCCCCTTGACATCATGCCAGATGTTGTATGCAAAGATGTTTACAGACCGTGGAAAAGTGACCTTGACCTTTGAGTCATCTGACCAAAATTCCAAGACCAATGCAACTGTGAATTTGAGAGCAAAGGACACATTGTCAAGTTATTAGTTAAAAAACCGTTTTGACAGTCAAGATCAGTGTGACCTTAACTTTTGACCCTGAGGCCAGTGAAGTTTTAGGGCCAAATGACCATGGGTCGTCGCGTTATTGGTGGGAAACTATTTTGACATTCAAGATTAATGTGATCTTGACCTATGACCCATAACCCTTAACTCAATCGGGGTCATCTATTGACAAAGACCAATGTACCTGTGAGAGTTGAAGACCAGGGGCCAATCGGTTGTCAAGTTAGTGATCGGACAAGTTTAAGTTTCCTAGGTCCAGGCATTCTAAAGTTATTGATCGGAAACTGTTTGTTTTACGGACCGACCGACGGATCGACATGTGCAAGGCAATTTACTCTTTCTTCTTCCAATGATGCAGGATTATCATAATATATGTATAATATATAATAATAATTGCAATCATTGTATTAGATGAAACGGCATCATTCGATTCATTCTACGGAAGTCCAAGTACCTGTAAAATAGTGACCATTTTATCCCAGTGCTTATTTCAAATCCAACGAGGGTCAGCAATAGCATTGTAACTAAAGAGTCTTTTTATCAAATCATGGGCCATAGACTGAAGACCTATCATGCCTATCGGAGTCACAACCATATGGCCTCATTTGTCCCACCGTGCTGGTTAGTTCCAAAAAGATGTTTTCGAAAGCGGTTTAAATAAAATTTACATTAAAAAATGATCACTTAAAACCCGGAAAAGGGGTATCCCTTCCAAAGCAGCAAAAACAACGAAATTACTCATAACTTAGTCATAGTAATACCTGTGTCACATTTCGCTCCTGTCCATGACGGTATGCACTTACAGTTAAAACCATTTACTGTGTTCTTGCATGTACCATGATTTAAACAAGGATTCGGCAAGCACGCATCAACAGCTGAAAGAAAAGACACAAAGAGCCGCTGTAATGGAAAACACTTCTACTTATTTTTAGAAAAGGTAAAATGTGTGTTGTTATTACGCTGTATTATTATACCTCACGTAAACCTTTCACAATATACAATATTATTTGTAGCAATGTAGTCATGTAACGACACATGACGTTATTTCGACCCATCATTCCGGAAATGAATATCACAGAACAATTGTTGTTTTTTTTTGTTGTTGTTGTTTTTTGTTTTGTTTTTTTTTTGTTTTTTTTTTTTGTTTTTTTTTGTTTTTTTGTTGGTTTCATTTATATATTCCCCAGGGGCGAGTAATCTTTATATACTTAAGAAAACGTAATGTTCTAGTTCTCTCCCCTGATAGAACTGTATTGCATAGCGGTGAAAAATAACAATAAAATGTTGGTTTAGTAAAAAAAAAACAAAAAAAAACAAAAAAACATGTCTCTCAGGGTAATAGTGCAAATTAGCAACCTTTGAACTGAGCAAACTTCAGTTCTTGGGTTGCTGATACATGTATTCATTTTTAGTTCATTGCCCTGAAAGACAAGTGTTATTTTTGTAATAATGAATTTAGAGCATGTTTAGTGCTTATCACCGAGACGAGTGCAGCACTGAATGTTAAATAATTTGACATAATGGAAATGTACACAAATGTAACCAATTATTACATTTTACTTTAACAGCACGCTAAAACAAAAATCTAAAAATAAAACCTTCAGAAAATAAAAAATGTCGGTTCTACATGGGCCTTCAACATTTAATACATGTATAAAATTGATGATGTAAAAATAGCTCGATTTACCTGCACATCCATTCGGTCTGACAAAACGGAGCTAATTTTTGCATTTTGACATTGAAACCCCCTTAACTTTTGGATGGACTGTTCCAAATTTAAAACTTGGCAAATTCATTATAAATTAGGTCAAGATACCTGTATCACAGTGTCTTCCTGTCCATCCTGACTGACATGCGCAGTTATAACTTCCGTCCATATTTATACAATTACCATTATTCTTGCACGGATTGTTTAAACACTCATCTACATCTAAATCAAATATAGAATTAGTAGATTTAGAAATATTTAGATATTACGTCGGTACAAGGAATTTAATAAATCTTCGGTCAAATATTTCTTATTTGTGAATTACGATTGTTATTGCAAAACAATTAAGACAATTCTAATGTTTCTGGACAGTAAATATGTTCAGGATACTGTTAACTCATTACTTTTCTCGTGGAACTAATTGTCGTGTTTTTCGTGGAAAGGTCACTCCAACGAAATTTCATTTCGTCTGCTTACTTTGCATCACATTATTTACATTATACCTTCTGAATTTCTGAGAGCGAAATGAACCCATACCTACACGTCTATGTGTTTTATGCAAATTGAATCATACAAAAGTACACTGACCAATGAAGACAGAACCCAGGAAAGGGTTTATAACCTCGCGGTCAGATTGAAAGCAGAGCAAATATATCAGACAACGTCAGCCGGTGTATGGTTACCTGCAATCTGACTAAAGTTAAGATCTACTTATTTCTTTTATTTAGATCTGAGGACGACCATATATGTTTCGCATTCTTAATAATTAGGATTTCCCGAGAAAGCTATTTTTAGTCGTGCAATTCACCTAGTATTTACATAGACATTATCAAAACAAAATATTAAAAAAATGTCCGTGGAAGTTAACAAATTGTTGATTTATTTGAAAAAAAAAATGTTTAAAGTAATATCTAACAAATTAACTTGAAAAAAATAGAGATGATTTTTTAATGCGCAGGATTAATTTTCCAGTTTACTTGTCGGCTATACGGACAACGCTATGTTGGTTCAAGAAATCGTGAAAATCACCTACTCAGTATTGGTTTTCCCAGGGTTAAAATTAGAAACCACATCGCTTTCAAAATTATGAAATTAAGCTCGTCGACGATTGGCTGTGTATTACGGTCAGATCTAACAGCGGAGCGTTATTTAGAGGCGATTGTAATCAGATTAGGGTTACCTGTATCACAGTCTTGTTGTCCGGTCCACCCTGCTTGACATGCACAGGTATATCCTCCGTCCTTATTTGAACATGTGCCATTATTCTTACATGGATTGTGCAAACATTCGTCCACATCTGTATCATATCGAGTCACATAAATAGAGAATCTATTCGATTCATAGTTTATAAGTGTAATATATTTAAACTATTATGAGGTAAAGAAAATACCATGCTAATGTCTGGCATGACAGTATATATCTGGCAAGGCTGAGAAAAAAGCAAGGCGAAACTACACCCGTGCTCTTCCTCCCCCAGTTAAGATGAATGGAACCTTGTGATATGATCTTTAAAGTGTTGGTGGGTAGAACTTAACCCTACCCTGTAGGGTGGGACTTAACCCACCCCTGGTGGGTGGGACGTAACCCAACAACTGCCATCTCCCCCATTGTTACCCTCTCCCACCCTCCAAAATACTAATACCAATAAAAGAACCACTACGATCAGTAGAAAAACAGCAACTTCTGTAGCAGTACGTTTACACCATCAATTATAAACAGAATTATTGCAAGCAACACAAACAGACCCCCCCCCCCACAAAGAGAGAAACAACAACAATCAATAGAAACAGCAGCGAATTATGTAGCAGTACATTCACACCATCAAATATAAATGAAATTAATGCAAGCAAGCCAAACGAATCATAAAATTGTTGGTACACCCCTACTAAACAGTCTTTATTAAAACACGTGCCATAATTCCTACACGGATGGCTTAAACATTCATTTACATCTGAATAAAATATTAAAAATTTCAGTCAAACATACTGCATTCAAGTGGTATCCTTGCTAAAATCCAAGCGGTATTTGTAATTCGGTAATGAATGCTTTTTGATTAATAATTGCTTTTTTTCCATTTGGCAATACCAAATGACTGCTTTCTCTATTTCGCAAATCAAAAATTCGGTAACGCATAATTTTGGATTAGTGATCGATTTTTCTATTTGGCAATTTCAAAATTCGCTAACGGATGCTCTTTGATTAATGATTGCTTTTTTCAAAATTCGGTAACGGATGCTCTTTGATTAATGATTGTTTTTTTTCTATTTGTCAATACCAAAATTCGGTTATGGGTGCCCTTTGATTAATGATTGTTTTTTTTTCTATTTTGCAATACCAAAATTCGGTATTAACGGGTGCTCTTTTATAAATGATTGTTTTTTTTCTATTTTACAATACCGCAGATGAGCAAATAGCACATCGCTTAAAAGCCGTAACAATGTTTTTTAAATTATATACTGAGATTTATTTATGCCAGATTTCAAAGAGAAAATGAATAGAGTTATATCTTCTAAGTTATGGCGCTTTATTTTGTCATGCATGCCCTTATTTATGTTTTAATATAAATTCCTATCTTTAAAACAAATTGTCACTGTCAAATCTTCCATGCATGTGGAATACAGATATCAGGAAATATTTGTACAAAACAGTATTATAACAAATCTCACCCAAACCTCAAACATAATAGAAAAATATTGAACAGATGATTTTTCGGAAGAATGTATTATAGTACTAATTATTATGCTATGTGTAAGCTATGGAAAATACTGGTGTTCAAAAAGCTTATCAATATATTTGGACATACCTTTATCGCAGTCTTTTCCAGACCACCCCAAATGACACATGCAGTGGTATCCACCATCTGTGTTAGAACACGTACCAACGTTTTTACACGGGTTATGTATGCATTCGTTTATATCTAAAGAATATATAATAAAGTTTCAAACCTATATTGTTCAACAACCTAAGAACTAAGAATTCATATTAATTCGCAGACGGAAATTGCAAAAATCGTTTATTTTGTTTTCTTTGGTTTAACGTCGACCAAACGCAATTTAGGTCATATGGCGCCGAAACAGGAAAGATGATTTTGACTAACCTCGGGTGTTTCAAACTTAAAGAAACACCAGGGGTTAAATCCATCTCACCTGCAGGAGCTAAGATATACACAGACTCCATTAATTCGAACACATGTGGTCTCGTCTTACGATCAAGCACAGACAAACGGTGGTTGTCATTCTGATGCTTCAATCCTTTAAGGTAATCTGTTCGCAACAACGGGGGGTGGGGGAAATAATCGCGTATTTTCGTACTTACAATGTAATAATAATATAAAACGACATTAATGAAAATCATTAAATTATCCAACAGTACTCGAAGTTTAAGTCAAAAGCAAATTACTGAAAGGGGGTAGTGACAAGAGGTGTGGGAACATTTCCCTAATCCAATGGCTTTGGATATGCTATTTTTAATTACGCTAAAGTTTTGAATCACAATTCAATGTTTCTGACTTAAAAATATACGAATATGATATAAGAGTAAATGACTGTATCATAGTACCTATATCACAGTGTTTTCCGGACCACCCTGCTTGACACCTGCAGGTGTATCCTCCATTCATGTTAAAACACGAGCCATTGTTCTTACACGGGTCATGTAAACATTCGTTTACGTCTGAATAATATAATAATATAATAAAGTTGTACAAAGATGTACTTCAGGTAGTCCATGAGGAAAATTGATCTTGATTTAACCATATTGTCAAAAGTTCACCTTTTATTTATGTAACCGTACAAACTTTGAAGTTTGTACTATTACATAAATATTGGTACTTACTTTGAAAATCGACTTAAAATGAAATCTGAGTTGCTTTAACTCATTTTGAAGCAAAAGAGGAAAAAAATTATCAAACATAAATATACATTTTTGATATTTAAGAAAAGAAATAAAAATTGGTCAGCACAATACATAAGTGCATATGCAATTACTCTTATCATCATTTAAATTGGTAAAATATTACACACAGAGCACAAATAATAATAAAAGAAAAACTGCAATCCATTGGGCAACAGCAACTTCTGTAGCACTACCTTTACATCATCAAATGCAAACATAATTAATGCAAGCAGCACCATCAGACCCCCCCCCCCCCCGAAAAAATAAAAAAAGCACGACCCCTCCCCAGACAAGTTCTGTGGCCAATCAAATAAAAATGAAATTAATGCAGGCAAGCCCAATGATTGATAACATGGTAGATACACCTCTACTACGTGGCTCTTTCATATTTTGGTGATCATGTTAAATGAGAGCCCTAGGCAATGCCGTTGTACAGCCATCTACAAAAACACAACTGAATCAGGTAAACACAGTTTCTAAAAATATCGGTTTTTAAATAATATGTTTGTTTTGTCAAAAATCGAATAATGCTATACCCGTTTCACAGTTTCTTCCGGTCCACCCTACTTTACATGTGCAGTTATATCCTCCGTCTTTATTAAAACACGTGCCATTATTTCTACACGGATGGCTTAAACATTCATCTACATCTGAATATGACATTTAAATTTTAGTCAAACATACTGCATTCAAGCGGTATCCTAGCTAAAAACCTAAGCGTTATAGGTAAATCGATAACGGATGCTCTTTAATTAACGATTGCTTTTTCTATTTGGCAATACTTAAAGTAGGTAACGGTACTCTTTGATTAATGACCGCTTTTTTTCTATTCGGCAATACCAAAATTCGGTTAGAGATACTCTCTGACTAATAATTGCTTCTTCTGTTTGGCAATACCAAAATTTGGTAACATATGTTCTTTGATTAATGATCACATTTTTTCTATTTGGCAATACAAAAATCCGGTAACGAATGCTCTTTGACTAATGATTGCATTTTCTTTTTAGCAATTTTTAAAGGCGGTAACGGGTGTTCTTTGATTATTGATCGCTTTTCTTTTTGGCAATATCCGGTAACATATTCTCTTTGATAAATGACTGCTTTTTCTTTTTTGCAATACTTAAAGTCGGTAACAGGTGCTCTTTAATTACTGGTATCCTTTTTTATTTGTCAAAGACACAATTCCGTAACGGATGCTCTTTTATTAATCATTGTTTTTTATTTTTGGCAATACTTTAAGTTTGTATCGTGTGCTCTTTGATTAATGATTTCTTTTTCCTATTTTGCAATACCAAAATTTGTTCACGGATGCACTTTAATTAATAATTGCTTTTTCTATTTGACAATACATAAATTTGGTAACGGATTTTTTTATTAATTATTGCTTTTTTCTATTTGGCAATACCAAAATTCGGTTACATGTACACTTTGATTAATGATTTCTTTCTCTACTTTCTCTATTCGGCAATACCAAATTTCGATAACGGATGCTCTTTGATTAATGATTGCTATTTTCTTTTTGGCAATACCAAAATTCGGTCATGGGTGCTCTTTTAATAATGGTTGCCTTTTTCTAGTTGGCAATACCAAAAGAGAGAAATAGTACACTCAAAGACACTTGGGGTTTGGAGCTCAAAACGCCTTTAAAATCCAAATAAAATGCATATTTGTCAATCCCAGCACATTTACTGATCATATATATCAAAAAATCTTAATATAAGCCGTTTTGAAAAAAATTCATATTTCAACATCTATAATAATACACAAGATAAAAATGTTTGCCGGAAAAAATCCGCACCCTACCGTCATAATCACCATGTATTTTATTCCATTTCCAATATGTTCACATAATCCTTTGGTCCATCGACACAGAAGATATAATTCTTCACGATGATGGTCAATTTTTAACTTCAACGGTAATATAAACAACGCAACAGCCGAAATAAACATCAATATTATCGCCGTTTTCCTTCAATGACATTATCTTTCGATAAATTCAAACGTGCCAGTCGGCTATGTCTGAAGCCATCCGATTTTGGTGGCCAGCTTTGCCATGTGCAAAATGCGCAGCGCGTTTAAGTGTGGAACCACATAATCGGATGCTTCGGTCATAGCCGACTGGCACGTTTGAATGACCGAAGCCATCCGATTATGTGGTTCCCACACTTAAACGCGCTGCGCATTTTGCACATTTTTATATATATATATGATCAGTACATGTGCTGGGATTGACAAATATGCATTTTATTTGGATTTAAAAGGCGTTTTGAGCTCCAAACCCCAAGTGTCTGTGAGTACACTTACCTGAAGGCTGTGACAATGTTTATATTATATACTGAGATTTATGTATGCCAGATTTTAAAGAGAAAATGAAGAGTTTCATTTTCTGAGTTATGGTGCATTATTTTGTCACGCATGCCCCTTTATTTATGTTAAAATATAATTTTTACCTTTAAACATATAGTCCCTGTCCCATTTTTAATATATGTGTAAAACAGATATTACGAAGTATTGTACAAAACAATATCATATCAAAATCTCACCCAAGCCTCTAACATAATAGAAAAAGATTGATGATTTTTTTGAAGAATATATTAGAGTACTAATCATTATGCCATTTAAAGCTAATAGCAAAATACTGGTGTTCTATGAGCTTATTTAAATATCTGGACATACCTTTATCGCAGTTTGTTCCAGTCCATCCTGACTGACATGCGCAGTGATATCCCCCGTCTGTGTTAGAACATGTGCCGAGGTTCTTACACGGGTTATGTATACATTCGTTGATATCTAAAGAATAAATAATAAAGCTGCAATTCAACAACATGGGAACTTGGAATTGATATTAATTTGGAGACGAAAATCGCAAAAGCTCGTTTATTTTTAATCTTTTTTGGTTTTACGGCAACAAACGCAATTTAGTTCATATTTGATGATTTTGGCTAACCTCGGGTGTTACAAACTTAAAGAAACACCAGGGTTTAAACCACCTCACTTGCTGAAATTAAGAGATGCATAGACTCAAGTTGTTAGAAAACATTTAAAGAAAAGCCTAAAAGGCAACAAGGGGACAAGCGGAGGGGGGGGGGGTACTCGCATATTACTTGTATGTAATAATAATAATAATAAAAAACTGGCATTGATGAAAATAATTTAAATTCTCAAACAGAAGCTGGAGCATTAGGTAAAGCAAAAGACCGATAAGGCATATTGATTTGGAGTGTGTTAACACGTGCTCTAACCAATGGCTTTGATCCCCTTTTATGAAATTGAAAAGGCTTTTTTTTTAATTGCGCTAAGGTTTGAATCAATATTCAATGTGTCTGTCCTAATAATATAAAAACAGAATGACAGAGTAAATGACTGCATCATAATACCTATATCACAGTGTTTTCTGGACCACCCTGCATGGCACCGGCAGGTGTATCCTCCATTCATGTTAAAACACGTGCCATTATTCTTGCACGGATTATGCAAACATTCGTTAATATCTGAATAATAAAATACAGTTGTGCAAAGACGTAGTACAGGAAGCCCATGCAGAAAATTGATCTTAATTTAACTGATGATAGCAGCTCTACTTTTTTCTATGTAGAAATGCAAAACTTACACTGAAAGTCAACTTTAAAAATGAAACTTCACTTACTTAAATTCATTATAAAGCAAAATGGGACAAGTTTATCAAACAAAAAAATGACATTAATACTCAAGAACTAACTGCAGTATAAATTGGTCAACGCCATTCGTAAGCGGATATGCAATTACTTCTTAACATTATGGAGAATGTCATACTTTAATGCCTTAGTAATGAATTCATATGATATTTAAATGCCCATTATGCCACAGAAATGCTATAATCTTATTTCTTAAAAACTTATTTGCCATATAAATAAATTATGTTTTTGTTTCTTTTATGACTATAATTAATAAGTGATTTGTATGGAAGTCAAAATACTACTTTGTTTACTATTTTGCTACCTTTATGATACATAACTGCACGTTCAGCGTTACTTAACATCAAACGTGCTCTGATTCCGTTATTTAAACATTATTAATCACATATTTTATATTTCGTAAGAATTAACAAATATGGATTCTGTGCCTAGTTTCTAACAGCCTTCATCACAATGTCTTGATGGACTTAAAGATGAATGTTGCTATGGCAAAAGATGTTTTATACCTGTATCACAATTTTTGCCGCCCCATCCTGCTAGGCAGATGCAGTTATAGCCATCGTACATGTTAATACATGTGCCACTATTCATGCACGGATTGTTTAAACATTCATCTACATCTTGAATTAACAGAAAAATGAAATTGTAGACACGCATTCTGAATAAGTATTCAGGGTCAAGATTTATCTAAATTTGTAAAAGACAGGCTTCGGCCAAAGATCATATATTTGTTATTTGATAAAACCAACTGGTGTTAATTGATAAAATATATGAAAATTGATGTTTCATATTTATTGACATGTATATTGAAAGTAGTTTATTGCTATTTAGAAAAATGATGACACGTTTAAAATATGATTATAAACTCATAGTGTCGCTCGATTTTTACAATTAAGAAATTTAGGAAATTTTGGTACATTTTTTTTGTGTCTGTACCTACCACATTTAATGTTGATGATTATACATATAATCATTAATCAATAACAAAATGATACTAGAACGTAAGCCGTGGCAATAAAAGAAAATAACAGATTTGTTCATGGTATGGCAGAAAGTGCCTACAACACCGACGTTATTTTGTACATTTTTTCAGCATTTTATTTAGATATACTCGAAATATTGTGGCGTATTTATTACGCTCTAAATGTCCTGAAGATCTCTATCATGAAAATTTAGACATTAATTCATTGATATTACTTCATAATATCCTTTCAGTCATTCCATATACTTGTCTTATGTCCGGAGTACTGAACATAAGTTTAAACACACGTCGTACGTCGTTACGTTAAATAGACATAACATTTTGCTTATCGTCATTATAAACAAGAAACTTCCAGGGCCCACGATAATGTTATAAAAAACGTTTGGCCCAACCATTTTTGTATATTGTGTAATTTTGTTGATGTAAATGATTTGATGCAATAAAATATTATCAGTTCCGATTTCAAAATGTGTATTAATATTTATTTACAAAGATCCCAAATATATACATTTAAGAAGTATTCAGGGTCAAAATTTATCTAGATTTGTTATGGACAAATTTCGACCAAAGGTCACAGAAAAACCAACTGACAAAGACAAAGTGAAATTGATAATCAATCTGAAAATGCAATCTCGTGGTCAATTCCTACGATTCAAAACTCCAAACCGTTGTTAAAAATCCGGCGGATTGAATACTTTCTTAATTGAATACATGTAAGTAATAGAAAGAGCATCGAAAGAAGAGGCTAACTGATTTGTACGAGGGGGCGTAGCCTTCGAGTATTAATCAGATTGCCGAGTGTTTTGATGCTCTTTCTCTGTTGTATCATTGTCAAGCATAAAAACACGTTCCCTGTTGTCACAATATGAAACCCCGGAGAAAAGTAACCAATGAACGAGCATCTTAATATGACATTTCTGTCGCTTTCCCCTGTCGCTTTCCCTTTCTCTGCTGTCACAATAAGTAAACCCCAGCAAAATTGAGCCACTCAATGGGCTGCTCTTGAGTGCGGGTAACTTATACCTGCACTCCAGTTAACGCACTGTATATGTATACGATTTAACTCTGACACATTTTCAACAGAAAGGTCCTCAAACTATGATACAAGAAAAAGAAAGAGCAACGAAACACGATGCTACCTGGTTTGTACGAGGGGGCATAGCCCACGAGTATTAATCATATTGCAGAGTGTTTTGATGTTCTTTCTCTTTCGTATCATTGTCAAGCATAAAAACACATTCCCTGTTGTCATAATATAAAACCCCAGAAAAAAGTAACCAATGAGCAATAAGTAAACCCTAGCAAACAATGAGCCAATCATTGGGCATGCTCTGGAGTGCGGGTAACTAATACGCACTGTGCATGTATAATTATGTATGTATACGATTTAACTCTTGACACATTTTCAACAGAAAGGTCTCCTGACCATGATAAAAACTTATTAAATGATTAAAGGGAAGACCCGTTACTAATGTTGAGAGAACTTGTGGGTCAGTATGTCATTGTATTGTAACTGTCTTTACATGTATGTATATGTTTCCTTTTTTGGCAATAAAATATATTTAAATCAAATGAGGATAAATACCTGTATCACAAACTTGCCCGGTATATCCTGTTGGGCATGCGCAGTTATATCCACCAGGAATGTTTGATCATGTGCCTTTATTTTTACAAGGGTTGTTTAAACATTCGTCTATTTCTATTTAAAATTAAATATACATCTTTACTTACATGTTTTTCTTCATTCCTCAGCGTATTTTGACATTTTCAATTTCAATAATGATTTTAAAGCAAACATACCAATGTCACAATTTTTCCCGGTCCACTCCACTGGGCATGCGCAATCATAATCTCCAATCAAGTTAGAACACCTGCCATTATTCTTACAAGGATTGTTTAAACATTCGTCTACATCTGAATAAAATTAAGCCGCGCCATGACAAAACCAACACAGTGGGTTTGCGACCAGCATGGATCCAGACCAGCCTGCGCATCCGCACAGTCTGATCAGGATCCATGCTGTTCGCTTACAAACAATATTAACAGTAAAGAAACTGATAGCGAACAGCATGGATCCTGATCAGACTGCGCGGATGCGCAGGCTGGTCTGGATCCATGCTGGTCGCAAACCCATTATGTTGGTTTTTTCGTGACACGGCTCAAATGATAAATTAAATAGAGTATACTGGAAGAGTGTAGTAGGTTCGATACACAAATTTATTGAACGAGTTGATTAAAATTATGATATGCGAGCGTCTGGTTTAATAAATTTAGAAATGAACCTATACGAATAAAATGGTCTCTTATAACATACCTAAAAAGAACTATTTTTCAGTTAAAACAATCTCTTTTTTTTTCATTGACACGGCTTTACTGTTAGCTAACATTTAGCGCGCTTTCACACTGTGACTGTATAGCGGTTGGGACGACACTTCAAAATATATACAAAAAGTGCTATATCATTTTTACGGAGAAGCAAAATGTGCACTGGTACTGATAAACAAAAAAAATGTAAATGCATCTTTAAACTAAATTTAGTATATTTTTTGTCAAAAAATCTTGCTACAAATCAATATATATCTAACCAAATCAATTCTCATTTCAAAAAGTGTATCAATATTTCACATATCTTTTTATATACATTTAAATGTTTGCAAATTAAGGAAATTGATATTCAATCAATATGGAACCTAAATGAGCCGCGTCACGACAAAACCAACATAATGGGTTTGCGACCAGCATGGATCCAGACCAGCCTGCGCATCCGCGCAGTCTGATCAGGATCCATGCTGTTCGCTTACAAACCCTATAACAAGTATATAGAAACTTATAGCGAACAGCACGGATCCTGATCAGACTGCGCGGATGCGCAGGCTGGTCTGGATCCATGCTGGTCGCAAACGCACTATGTTGGTTTTGTCATGACACGGCTCATATTCAATCAATATGGGACCTAAATCATTTATTTTTATATTATGCGAGTGTTTTTAAATACTATATCATATGCAAGTGGTTTTTGAATTAAAATTAAACAATATTGTTAAATTCATCTTCAAACCTTTAATGCAGATAGGTCCTGTCCATGTGTCAGTGCATGTGCAATGAAATGCCCCAACAGTATTTGTACATGTAGCATTATTCAAGCAAGGCGACATAGAACACTCATCTATATCTGAAATGTAACATTGTGTACCGTAATATAATGTCTTTTTGAATGTCTTTTTGTTCTGCTAGAAAATATGTAATTAAAACTTGTATTTTGGATATAAGGGATTAAATTCTGCAAATGTTTTATTTAAAATGAACACATGTATGTTATTATTTATAAAGATTTTTGATAGGTTATATGACCGAACAAAAACGGTCCCGAGCCGACAGGCGATGGTTATATTGTAAAACAAGAGCCGGTTGAACCGGGTTGATGCTTTTCGAAAAGGATTTGGACACAGAAAAGTAAACCTTTTGTAGTTTCAGAGTTACGTCCCGAAACAAAGTTCAAAGTGCAACAATTCCAAACTTAGGCAAGACAGAGTTACTGTTTTTGCACTGCCCATCTACCCAATAAGATCTATCTACCTACAAAGTTTCTTTGTTCATATCTCTTTAAGAGTCAGAGTTATGTCCCGGACAATGTTCAATGAACAATGGGCAATAACTCCAAAATTAGGCAAGGCAGAGTTATGGTTCTTGTGCACAGCACATTAACCCAATGAGATCTTTTTACCTACAAAGTTTCATATTGATATCTATCATAGTTTTAGAGTTATGTCCTGGACAGAGTTCAGAGTGTTAAAATAAACAAAGGGCAATAACTCCAACATTACCCAATGCAGAGTTGCGGTTCTTTTGCACTATATATATATCTACCTACAAAGATTCATGTTGATAATTCTTATACTGTCAGAGCTATGTCCCGGACAATGTTTCAAGATGTTAAAATGAACAAAAGGCAATAACTCCAAAATTAGGCAAGGCAGAGTAATGGTCCTTTTGCACTGCACCTGTACATTATGAGATCTATCTGCCTACAAAGATAAGTCTAATGACTTAATACACATCTACACCGATGAGGAGAAATTGTTTCGAAATTTACATTTCAATTTAGTTTTTGATTTATTATTATAATAGTAGATATGATATTTATTGAGCGTCAGCATGCAGTGAGTCTCCATAAGATAAGAATTTTTTCACTTGTATGTCAAAATCTTTGATGGCTATTTCTATATTTACCTATTTCACAATTTATTCCAGTCCATCCAGGTCTACATTTGCAATCATAACCACCCGCTCTGTCCATACAAGTGCCTTGATTTAAGCACGGGCTCGACAAACAGCCACCTCCCATTGAAAGTGAAATTAAATTATTCAAACAACATAAATGTCTGCACTTTCTAAAGAATGAAACATTTATTATTTTGTTATGAATAATGGGACTCTAAAACTTTTTTCAAGCAAAAGAGTTATTGAACTTCAAAACATGTTGCTCGGGAAATATGAAAATAACGTGTTTTCTATTTCAACTTCTGTACTTTTGTATATGTAAAATACATTTTTTTCAAATTGTGTTACTTTTATACATATTGCTATTGCATATTAGTACCTCTCACTTTTTTCGTAATGTTAATTTCCTATAGGCCTCTGGGAGTAAATCTTACTGTTAATGCAAGTGTACCACGTGATTAAGAATTTTGTGCTGTTACATAGGTAACAGTATTTTTAACAGTATAAAATCTGGTCACGTGGTCTACTTTCTAAATAAAATAAAATAAAATGGCCGCCATTTTCTCTCGATTCATTCTTATTTTCGATGATAGGGCCTAGGGCATCACCAAAGTAACTATGACTCTATTAAAATTTAGTTCTTTGCACACTAGAGTTCTTTTCGCGTATAAAATATCTTCTTCTTGAATAGTCAAAAAGTAAACATCCGTTTTCAACGGAAGTTATTGTAATGTGAATAATTTTGTGTACAGACGATTAAAGCATACAACAAAGTATTATTTAACAATTTTAATCAGTGAAACGTTACAGATAGAGTTGGTGGACAGACATCTGTATGATATCATCGTTAATTTGTAAATGCACTTTGTCAAAAACCATGCGAAGAATATTCTGGATACAGAAGGATCATAACCTTATAAATGTGTTAGTGTTTTGTTTTCTAAATAAAACGCAGCTTATTGTATGTTTATGACTGGTGGATATCATCACTTGCTTTAAAAATAAAAGAAAAACAGCTTCTCAAGTACAGTAGGCTTATAGCTTGCAAGGTAAGGACAGTTAAGTTATTGCTTCTCTTGGATTATTTTTGTTACAGTTAGAGTTAGTTAACAAATTCAGATCATCAAAGTATTTGTTCGGGGTAATAAAATAAATAACACATGGTTTGTGAGTACGCCTTGGGTAACAGTATTTTCCTCGGGATGATATTTTTACTGTTACCCATAAAAAAACATGTGTTTTATATACTGTTAAATAATGAAACGTTCAGTTTTTTTAAGTTGTTTTTGTTTGTTTGAGTTTTATTGTTGTTGTCGTTTTTTTTTGTTGTTGTTGTCTTTTTTTTGCAAAATAGATTTTTTTGTCAAGTACCTGTATCACAGTTCTTTCCTGTCCATCCGGTTGGACATGCGCACTTATATCCTCCATTCAAATTTGTACAAGTGCCACCATTCTTACACGGATTGTGTAAACATTCATTCACATCTGAATGAAAAAATGTAGCTGCATTGCAAGAGGTTATGACGCAAGGACAAGACTTAAGTTACATTTCGGTCAATGTTCAAGTATTCACTATTTATCAATAGTTGATTGCATTTAATTGCCAATCATAAAACAAGTAAATGTTTTACATGATCAACATGACCCTGAATTAATGCGTAAATGCAAAACTTTTCAAGTGTATTACTTAAATACACCATTGCATCGGTTACGTATCAAAGAAAAATATTCTAAACATATGGTTTATCACTTACATTATATTAATTCGTAAACAAAGTTGTTTAATACTGATTAAACCTATTCTTTTGTTATTCTTTTTTTGCCCTACGCAGAATGTTCATGCGCGAAATACTACTTCCGTTTCTATGAAAATATCGTATGTCAAAAAAGAAAAATCTAAATCTGAAAAAGCATTTGGAGAAAAAACAAATGGGTTAAATAACCTTTTTTTTTTTCATTATTTTTAAATTTTTCTCACCTAATTGCGCGGGGGGCAAAAAAAATAGGCCTGTCCAACAAATGGTTAAATTGGTAACGTGCTAATAAAATCCTCCAGCAGTATTTGTACATGCAGCATTATTAAAACAAGGTGTCATCAAGCACTCATCTATGTCTGTAATGTAACATGATATAGCATTCAAGAATTTTCGCTTTGTAATAAGAATTTATTTTAGTTCGATTGTGTTTGAAGCTATAAGTTTATTAAAACACTCTCGAATCTGTAAGGAGCCAATCACTTCTAAACAATGTGTGTATTTTTTTTTCGCTGACGAAAAAAACAACAGTTTGCCCCTGATTGGGTTTTAACCCTTCTTTAGATTTCTTGTCTATGTCATTAACAATTCAGGAAGACTACCACTTAAAACCGCTATCAACCATTCTGTTTTATTAAGACCATTTCATTATTTTGAATGGGGATATAGTGTAAAACCATCTCATTTAGTGAAAGGATATTATTTACAATAAGTGAAACCCGGTGTTTTACTTTTCGTGAAAAAAAAACTCACTTGCTAACCAAAAGTATACATTTAGGTAGAAGATATAAGGTACTGAAGATCATATAGTTTACCTTCTAAATGTTATAAGTTGTGATGGTAAATTTTAACAGCAAAATGTCTTAAAAGGGCATTTAACACATGAGAGTTATCGTCATTCAATAGAGAGAGGGGGAAAACTGTAATATCCTAGGCCAACTCGTATTTAATATCAAACTTGAATGATGAAATGAAAAATGATCATTACTTAACACAGCTCAGCGTCATATTCAGGAAGTTGTCAAGAAAATGGTGTTTTCTAATAAATGAGTTTTTAAAAAGGTCTTGTTTATCATAGTGTCACCCCAACTCCTACCACTATGCCAGGCGCCAGGCGGATAGAAATCGGTAACCATTCATTTTAACTACCTCGCAGACTCACGAAGCGGCCATTTCGGAACGAGTCCAAAGAGAAACATTCATCATCCAATAAACGCTCCCCGTAGGGCTCGACCTCCCAATCCGAAGGCGGACGCCTTAACCACTAGACCAACGACACCAGTTGCTATATTTGTATTTTCATTCCATAAAAGACACTTACCTGTGTCACATTTCGCACCAGTCCATCCTGGCGAACATTTACAGCTGAAACCATCCGTGGTAGCCGTACATACGCCATTATTCATACAAGGGTTTGACTGACATTCGTCATATCCTGTACAATTATATAAAAATACATTTTCTTGCATGTACTTAGTAATAATAACAAACACACAAAAAAATACGTATTTTTTTATGATAATAATCTTTTTCCCATTATGATTGTTACAAGTTTACTTATAACGTTGCTGTTATTTATATAGTACAAATAAATGCACATATAAAATTGAGTGAAATGTATCAAACTAATAAAAAGCCCGGACTTAGTTACTTTTTCTTAGCGTAATCAGTAGCAATGAATCTTTTGTTTTATTTTATTTGGAATGCATATTGCATGTATCTTAGCTAGATTACGACATTACGAGAGTATTGATATCTCATCAGATGCTATGTGAGCCGCGTCACGACAAAACCAACATAGTGCGTTTGCGACCAGCATGGATCCAGACCAGCCTTCGCATCCGCGCAGTCTGATCAGGATCCTTGCTGTTCGCTTACAAACCCTATAACAAGTAGAGAAACTGATAGCGAACAACGTGGATCCTGATCAGACTGCGCGGATGCGCAGGCTGGTCTGGATCCATGCTGGTCGCAAACGCACAGAGTTGGTTTTGTCGTGACGCGGCTCATATATGTATTCAAAATATTAACACCTTACAACATAATGACCAAATGACCAGCGTTTGTACCATTTATCCTAATTGGAAATTATTTTATCAATTCAGCCTCTTTTTATTTCCAGAGTCGAAAAGAAAATCTATATCCAATGCATATCAGACTCCAAATTGCCTCGTGCACGGCTGCAAAACCTATGTTAGACTTGGCTAGCGATTCGTCCAATATAATTGACAGCAGTGTGCTCGTCCAATAAAATTCAGTATTGAACTAAACAACGTATAATTATCTTATATCATTGCTCTGTTTTTATGTTTGTTTTTCATTTATTTAGGAAACAAATTGGCATTACAAACTCTCAAACACAGCTGTCGTTCGGAAACGCACGTTGACATGCTTTACAACGAATGACGAATGGTAAAGGAATCAAATACCATCTTGTGAAACGCCATTACAAATTAATGTCATATCGGACTGTCTTTACTACCACCTTACTTGCAGCAACATCACTAAAAGCAACTGTAACTATGATATTATTCGTAGGAGCAACAGCAGTATTTGTGTCAATTTCTAAATTAATCTAGCAGCTGGTTTCGCTCTTTCACGTTTGGAATGTAAAATATCTTGTATGAGGTTATACATTTTATGATATTTCATTCACTACAAGAATTTAACATCAAATAGAACAAAAGTAATATAATTGCAAACTCGTCTTGAAATAGAAATGTAATTTTGTTTATTATCAGCATAAAGACGTTCATTTATTTCACTTACTTGTTGTACAGAATTTGCCTGTCCAACCACTTGCACAATTGCACTGAAAATCACCGGGTAAATTTATACATGTGGCACTATTTCTGCATAAAAATCCTTTTGAGTTAAATGTTGCACATTCATCTAAATCTGTGAAATAAAAAAACATGGCAAAGTCATTCATACAATTCGTTGTTACCAGCTTTTAAAAAGGGTATAGAAAAATTAAAGCATAAAGGCACAGCCATGCAAACTAACGTCACAATGAATCATTCTTTTTCGTTTTCGACACACCGTTTAAATATCCCCGCTTCGTAACTTTTCATAGCACGAATTTCTGTAACAATTGGGACATGTTAGAACTATTACTTAATCAACCTTGAAGGCTTGTTTTCTTCTTTTTGTCTGTTTTCTTTTTTACCACGTTTATACGTTCATATGGAATATAATATGTAGAGTTTCTATAAAGTTTTTCAGTTACATTCACGGTATTGTAATAACGTAACAAAATATCAATACTTTGATCACCTATTTCACAGTTAGTGCCTGTCCATCCTACAGGACACATGCAATTGTATGATCCGTTTGTATTGATACACGTCCCATTATGCAAACAGGGGCCATATGAACAATCGTCGACAACTAAAACGGAAGTAAACCAAAGTTAACCGAAAAAGAGCGCATCGGCCAAATCAGATTTTATCTAATTATTGATATCATAATAGTGAACACATGATAAAGTGAGACACTATTGACAACCAGAACAAATATGTATAAGCCCTATGACGTCATTAAAACCAGTCAGGCAGGAACAAATATTTACTCGTTTGTGGCAATACTAATTAAATCAGTTGTACTCCAACATGTATATCGGGTTGTCGATTGGAACCGTACACAGAGGTTTTTCTAAGTGCACGTGGCAAATGCACTTCAACAAATACTCCAATATTTAAAATATGAATGATAAATCGAAAAGTGAAATATTATTTAATAAAATAAACTCCTTACCTTCAGTGCAAAGAGCGCCGTGCCAACCTTGTTTACACTGACATGAAAAGTGACCTTTGGTATTGATACAAGTTGCGCCATTACGACATAAGTTATATAACTGACATTCATCTTCATCTGCATAACATGATGCACATTTTTTAAACAGTACTTCTAATAGACTTACGAAAAATATACTAGTTCCTTCTTTATTGGTCATATTATCAGTTAACTCTTAATTTGAACTGAGTGAGTTTCTAATTTCATCTTCACGAACTCCTAAAGAATTCGTGAAGTTATAATAGTGAATTCATAAAGTTGAGTTGATTGCTCGACTTTGTGAGGTTGAAGTAATGAATTATTGATCATGAAATCGTTTCGAAATCGCAGACTCATGCAGTTGAAATGTCATAAATACTCGATATTAAGCAACAAGCCCATAAATGTGTGATATATTTTATGAAAACTGACATTCTTAATCAATCATTTAACTAAGCATAAGGTATTAATATCATATCATTATTTTAATCATGACTTTTTTGTATTTATTCGCCAATATATTTCTTTTCAATCATTTATTCTGCTACAAGAGAATTTCTAGGACAAAACATTACCTTCGTCGCAAAGAACACCGTTCCAACCATTTGTACATTTGCATTGAAAGTGACCGTTAGTACTTATACAGGTTGCTCCATTACGACAGGGATTTGACTTTTCGCACTGGACAGCTTCTGTGTGTGTGTGTGTGTGTGATAAGATAAATGGAATTTTGCTAAACAACGATTTCCCAATATACTATACTAAACTACGACACTACAACACGTTTTTTTTTTGGTTATTATAAATATATCAATAAAACACTGTTTTGTTGATTTTCGTAATGTAGTACTGTTTCTCGTAACAAAACAATGTCTTTTGAAAACATATGTACATTTTGCCTTTAAAGATGAGCCAGCAAAGATTATAAAAACATGAGAATGTAACTTCTTGTCAGTAACCAACTAGCAAAGATTTCGCAATAAAAATTTCCAATTCCCACCCCGCACTCACCTGTGATATTACAATTTTTGCCGGTAAATCCAGGCTGACAGTTACAGCTGTAGAAGTCACCATGATTTGTATTGAGACAATATCCTCCATTCTCACACGGGTTGATAAGATTGCATCTTTTTAATTCTGTAACATAGATTCTTTACTGATTAACAGAAAAGTTAATATCACAAATCGTATTTATTGCACAAAACTATTTGTTGTTGTTGTTATCGAAAAATACTTTAAAATGATCATAAACATACATTCAATGTATTTTTCTTTCTAGGAAGAGAAAAAAACATATATCTTATTTGATAATTTTTCAATAATTAAAATAATAATAATATTGATGATGACGATAATGATGATGATGATAGTGGTGAATATGATGATGATGATGATGATAATGATGATGACGATGATGATGATGATTATGATGATGAGACGAAAATAATAATGTAATTAAAGGGACACCACTGATGTCCACTGAGGTGTAAAAATAACTCCACAAAGCAATTAGACTATTTGTTAATATGATTGTTATTATAATTACCTGAACAATCGATGGAACTCCAAACTGTCTGATACTCGATTGAGTCTGTGTTTAGATAGAAAATAAGTTACACGTGTATTACAATGCTTTAGATAATTGTTAAGCTTGAAATACTAGCCCAATTATTTAAAATGAAAGCATTAATGGGTCCACCAAGATGTTCTGTAATTCTGTGAATATGAGTCAATTTCGCATTATTCCATGTAAAGCAGCATGCTTCCAGATTCATGCTAATTTTCATGAAAATTATAAACATGTATTTAAAAGTAAAATACTGTGAAGTGAACAAAGAAAGTAATTTATACATTGCAAACGGCACTTACATTCCACGTTAATTACCAAAAAAGAGGCCAAGATATACATAAATACCTCTTACTGCGTTAGTAACGCAGTAGAATTAAATTGATTGATACTGCAAAATCATTCATTATTCGCACATAACACGTAAATAATTAATTTAATATTAAATCTTTTTACTTTTTCAAGATCTTAATACATTTTTATAAAGACTAAATTTCTTGAAATATTTCGGCTCATCTGGAGGCGTGCAGCTTTAACGGATACAATTATTAAATAAAACTTAATTTAATTTAAATATTGATGAAGTAAAATGCGTATTTTCATTTTCCGTATTATCAGTGTAGAAATGTGTTGTTTTACTGTAGTGAAACATATTTTCCGTATTTACACAGATATCTTGCCGGACTTTCAACCAATAGAAAACAATTAAATAAAGGTGTTCGGTGCGTGGCCATGACTTACACTGTAGCCCCGTTCCCCCTCTACAACCAAAAACCCTTAAACATCATCCAAACATCGTAAGTATTGACAAAAATCAATCATATGAAAAAAACACAACATTATGATATCTTAAAGAACATAAATATAAACAGAGTCATTCCGTAATACATATATGTAATATCAATATACATGTATGTTATTGTACAAATAATTAAGATGTACCGATGTGTGTAAAGGATTCCATGTGACATTCGTTGAAACATTTACAAAGCGAAACCTCCGTCTGTACACCTAGAATGTTTTTATTAGAAACCGTCACAATGAACCTTTTGTCTTTGTCTGAAAAATAGAATTGCATACGAGTATATCAGTTTGGTTTGATTGGTTCCACTGCGCACCAACACAATACAGGTTATATGTCACTGGAGCAGAAAAGATGATCTTGGCTAACCTCGGGTGCTACAAACTTGAAAATTTGACCTAAGGATATTAAAAAAAATAAAAAGGGGCATAACTTCATTAGAATGAATTTCAGAATTATCTGCCCTTCTGCAATGTTGTAATATTTTGATAGTAAACATAGAATTCAAGTTTGCGGTGAATAACTTGGATGATTTCTGAGAAAATGGATCTAAACGTACAGAAAGGTTAACAAGGGCTGAAAAGGGGCATAAATCTGCATAAAATGAATTTAGGATTATCTGCCCTGATAAATGGCGTCATTTTAGTGCATACACATGCATACCAAGCTTGAAATCTAAAGCTTTTATAGCTTCTAAGAAAATGGACCATAGCGAAAAAATGAACCAAAGCCGATGACAACAAGAAGGTCATGACAATCGTTTCATTTTTTTCTCCGAAAAATGCAGCGAAAAACACACAACATTGACTGTAAATGCATTTAATGAATGTAGAATAATATGAATTTGCAACATGTTCATTCTTTTCTTATGTTTCATTCCACTACTTTAAGATTAATATTCAATGTAATTGACCTATGAAATCGATATACATAGTATATTTTATAAGTTTAAAAGTTACTTTATAAATTGGTATTGTTTTAATTTCGATTTTTGAAAGTAACGCTTGGAATGTTTAACATTAATTTTGATACACTAGAAAACTATAGGTTATTGACCTTTATATACATATTTAACATTCTGATCTGCGGTCGGAGGAACCCTGCCTTGCAAGAAGGCTATCAGTTGGTAACCGTATCTATATGTTCCTTTATAATACTACACGTTTGTAACGTCGCTTTTCGTTGGATAATCAATTAATATTAGTTATAAAGATTTTTGAGAGGTTATATGGCCCTATATTAACGGTAGTTAAGAAATATAATACCCAAACATCATTACCCAAACTGCTAAGCGAGGGTAACATTGCAAATAACCGTTTATATACAATCATATAACTTGTCGGGAATATTTATAACAAATTTATAATACAGCGAAACTTCTCTACTATTAAGAAAAAAGTGAGATTTCTTCAATAAGTGACAGCAACCGTGTATATAAAACTATATAACGTCACGATTATCCAATGAAAAGTGACTTTACAAACGTGCAGTATTATTAAGATCAAGTTATGACCGTATATAAATTAAGGGTTGTTTGCAATATTACCGTTTATATAGCGTCATATTACCTGTCAATTTTTTTATAACTAATAATTTACACAGCTGCTGACAATTCATGAAGAAATCACACTATTCTTTCCAGCGGATCGGCTTATATATATACAAACAACCGTTTATATATAGGACCATATAACCTGTCAAAAATATTTATAACTTATAATATATACGCATGCACGCACACGCATGTGCAATGCTGTTTGAAATGTACAATACACTCATTATAAAAAACACTGAAAACGCACCTACCTGAAATGTTTTCCGCAAGGGCAAAGCTGCAGCACAGCAACAGCACTAACGCCAACTGGTACATACTACAGTGAATATGGTGTCACCACGTGGTACGGGAATCAGATCCTATGGCCAGTTGTGTCTGAAGAAAAGTTCTTGACAATTCATACTTTAAATTATTCCCAACGTAAGTGGTAATATACATTTGAATGAATTACAAGTATTAAGTTTTTAGTATCATATCGAATTATTTTTCCTAAGAACCTAAGAAATAAATTTAATCGCTTTGCCATTTTAATAAAATGTTTATAAAAACATGTTGCTATATCATGTTTATGTTTCTATGGTTCTTTTCAAAAGTAAACATGGTGAATAGGTTGACTTTGAATCACTAGCTAGTCCGCCGCTAATTTGAGTTCAAATACCACCATGGGTTTTGATTTCGTTTGTTTGTTTGATTGATTGGGGTTTATGTCACACCGACAGGTCATATGGCGACGTTCCAGCTTTACTGGTTGAGGAAGACCTCGAACTTTTACAGGCATGAACGGACACCTAAGCAGAACCACCGACCTTCTGTAAGATATATGGATAGCTTCCTCACATGAAAGAAAATCCAAAATACTTGCGGGATTCGAACCCACAGCGGCGAGAAGCAAGTGGTTTGTAGCCAATGACCATGGAATGTTGATGATACTACATGTACAAAGAGCAAATTTAAACTATTTAATGGAGAGCCATCTGGTGTCTTCCTTCACAGGTTAACCAGCAGGAAGGTCTTGAATGATTTTGTCACGTTTCCGGTGTAAAATCTATTCTATTTCGGTAGGGAAAAAAATCTACTCGGAGTAAATAATAATTAAATTTCATACTTACAAAAGAGACTATAACAGTTCCTAATTTAATAAAAATGCCTGCAGGTTATTCATTTTGTTTTACAACTTCTTCATAAGATAAGATAATCACGATTTGCCTTTTCTTTAAATTATGCCAAGCTTATCATCAGATATGATAAAGGAGTTCATTAAGTGCTTCACAACTTAGATAGGTCCGCTTGTACTTACAGCATAATATACGGCTAATGTACCTTTTTGTGCATTACCACCTGTTAAAAAAAACAAACAAAACAAAAGAACAAGTGCACAGGATTTCAGAAGGCTTCTGAAGATGGTAATACACGGAAAACAGTGCTTTTATGTGACATTTTTTTCATTTTCTGCTATAAAAATGACTATAATAATGGTGAACGATCAATAACTGAAAATGAAAATGTTAAATGATACAATATATACTGTGCTCCTCTTAGGTCTTTGAAGTAAAAAAGAAAACAATACATAAAATTTATGGTATAAAAATTGTCATTAGCTGTCACATATAGGTATTTTCTGCAGCAGTCCTACGCATAAACCCAAGATTTCCAGTTTTCCCCCAAAATTTGCTATCTCTGGCCAGTGATGAGCATTTAATTATAATTACATGGCTTGTCACGGTATCACTGATAGTAGTACCTTTGAATGTTTTATGATGCTATCATGTTTCAAGAATGTATAGTTGGAGGATATAGAGAACAATTTTAGCATTATAATGGAAAGCTAAGATTTTTTCATTTAGCTGAGATACTACATGATGTATTTTTATAAAAACAATAAGAGATTTGCATACATTTTAAAAAAAAGTTTTTTTTAATTACTAAAACCATTGCAATGAAAGTACTTATTTACATTACTTATTAGCAGAAGACCTAATGTGCCATTTAATGTTGACCTTATAAATAGTTTTATCATGGATATGTTCATCCTTGTTGTAAAATATTTCAACCACAAATTATCTAAATCTATGAAATATTGACGTGATTATTGTTAAATTAAATAAAAAGAATTAATTAAAACCATGGGATGTTGGGATGCTGAATACCCTTATTACAGGTCAAGTAAAGTTGATATTTTCTTTAAAAAAATGGTTGTTAATGACATCATATAGTCATATTGTGACCACTTATAGTGTGTATAATTTAAAACATAATGTAACTACTTTTTTGAAGTCAAAACATATTTATTTTATATTTACAAAGTGACTGTTTAGCAATTATCAATATTTTCTAAAATAAACTTGAAAGGTTATCTCAAAATATCCTTGTCATACCTTTATATTTAAATTAAAAAATCCATTCAGCTACTACTTTAACTAACTACTACAACAAAACAAGTATTTATTATTAATGGAAATGTACAGTCTGATAATTGTTTACTTATTATTAAGTGGTTATTTGCAGAAGATTGCATTGGCAATTTTCATGAATAATGATCATTTAAATGTTTTCTTTTAAGTGTAACACATTAACTTATAAATACAGGAAGAAAGCATTCCAGTGTCACTTTTTTCTCACAGAAGTATTTCTTAATACTAAAACTGGTATTTGTTCTGTAAGAACTGTGGATGGATACCGCAACATGGATAAAAATTTAATGTACAAAATCATGTATTCCATGATAAATAAAAATAATTCCAAAACTGAATTTAATAGTTCCTTAGCACTATCATGTTGTTTCTATTTCCTGTCAACTGGTAACTGTTTTCTTGTTGCAGTTTTTCTGAAATAAAAAAGGCTTTAATAGACAATTTGCAAAACATAACATATGTATTAAAATTATACACACTTGTTGAAAATAATGGGTTTAAGTTGGGGTTTACACCTCACTTAACACTGTGAAGGTATTATAGTGACTTTCCAGCTTTTCTGGTAAAGGAACACCTCTTGTGGGATAACTTGAATTATTTCAGATACAAAAAGGCACGTGCATTTAAGGAATTAATGGTGTTACAAAAAGCTAGCCTCAGAAAGCCTTCCTACGCCATTGTGTATTAATAACTATGTTTAAATGCTTAATAAAATGGAACAAAGTAGTGCAAATAATAGCATATGATTAGGAAAGATTGTATAGATTTATAATGTAGAATTTTTCAATAAACTAAATAATCTTACTTTTGGTGTTACGTAAGCATTTGGTTTAAATTTTTTTCTCCTTGCTCCTTTTTTGTTGGCTCGTGTCATCCTGTTTTCTCTTTTTTGAGTGCATTGACATTTTATGAGAATTTCTGCTTTGATCTATAACAATGGCTTCCTGAACATCTTTCATATACGAGTCAGCACCGAAATCATACTCTATAGTTCCATCTATCAATTTTTTCATTACAACCCTTTTCTAGAAATTTTGGCAAAAAAGTGCCTCATCATGGCCGGCTGTATGGTAGTAATCTACCAAACACTGGACATTTTTACCCAGATTTTCAATAGCAGAGTCTGGAGGCATCAAATTATGTGGGTTTCTGTATTCATTAATAGTTTTTGCCTTTGGTGGTAAGATAGAAAGCTGTCTGATCTCTTCATATGTGAATTGTTTAAGATCGACAGATTTCGGCGCATAAATTGTTTTCACAAGTTCTTTGAACAAATTGACATCAAACGTTATTTTCAATAATTTTGTGTGACAATGAATTTCCATTTTAAAAAGTCCTGACGTAAACAAATCTTCCATCTAAGTTTGCAGCATTTTCTTGTGTGAAATTCCGTGGAACTTTGGCAAAAAATCATTGCCTCCAAGACTCAATGCTAGAGATACTTTTTGTCCAATATGATGATCTTTCCAATACTCCTCCAGATAAGACACAATTGCAGTGATGTTGTATGTGGTCATAGACCATTCCTGGCTTTTGTTTAAAACAACATTAAGCATTATTTTTGAATTTGTACTGGTTATGAGGAGATCTTGGCCAATGCTGTAGCAATTGCAATTCATATGAAGTGGGACTGCATCAATATCACCTGGAAGAAACAAAACTAACAGCAGAATCTGTGTCAGAAAGCAAAGATTCATAAGCGCGCAAACAGCCAGTCTATTTGTGCAAAGTTCTGCTTCTCCTTTGATCTGCTTAATGTTATTTAAGACACTAAGTTTTGGACGTTCATTTGATGAAAACTCAGCTCTGATTGGGTTTGTGAACATTCCCTTTGGGTGAAAACATTTTGTTTCATCGCAGTCACATGAAACCATATGCAGCTCACTGTCTACATCAAGGACTGCATTTTCAACATATTTAAGGTCATGCTTGCCAGTGGTAGATTGTGTTTTGAATTTTACACCTGCAAACTCAATAGTTGCTACGATAGCTGTCTGCGATATTTTTTCGGGAAGAGACTTCTTTGACAAATAGATGAGACCACTTTCCTCTAAGTACTTTTCACAGTTTAATTTTGTGGCCTTTTTGTCTGTGTTGCAACCTTTCAACCAAACAAATCCATTTAGCTGCTTGTTCTAACACCAACTTGACTTCAGTACCTTCGGTTTAGAGACAGTCGGGTTTGACAATGGCTTTGACAAGCATTCATTTCTGAAACTCAAAACAGTCCATTTTTTTAAATTCCTTCTTAATAAGTTTAACTCTAGTTTCTTCTTTCTTTCTTTCACGTATGGTTTTGGTTCGACTGTAATGTTTTATATAAAGTACGTTTTGATTTTGTGACCCCTCGTGAGCTTTTTTAACTTTTTGCAAAAGTTCCTTTGGTCCTTCAACCTGGCATATAGTCGGGTTCATCTAATTTTCGAACATCCAAAAAGGTTTGAGATCCGCAATGTATTTCTTAATAAGGTACTTTCCAACATTATCGGTATTCATGTCAAAGTATCGCATTTTGACAGAGTAGGCCTTTTTGGAATCATATACATTGTTAGAATATTTTTGTCTTCTTGTCATAGAAAGTCCATTCTGTCTAAGAACAAGATGTATTACCTTACAAAATATATTTAGCATCTGGTGCTGGAAAACCCTGTGACTCCAAGTAGCTTAGATGGAGTTTTTTCTTTAACTGGAACAGATTTATTGCCCACTGCAGCTATATGTGCTTTCATTTAGGTAATCTAGAAAGGACATTCGTGGTATGACTTTGATGCCATTGTCGATCCAGATCTAAATGCTTTCATAGCATCCTTGTTGATCAATTTCCCGTTGTGTGTCAAGAGCCAAAGTTGATATCACTTCCTTGAATTGGATTGCTTAAAACAATGCATGTTTCATGTTCTTATAATATTGGACCACATTTGCAATACTCATTTGAAGCAACTTTGTTGTAAAGGCTGCATAAGATGAAAGCCCCATTCATAAAAGAAAATGGTAATCTGGACCTGACAGATGCAAAAGTAGCGGCTATAGGCCTAATTTTTTCTCCAAGTCGTTGCCAAAGCTATGTTACTTACTTCCATCGCAAATGTATCAAGAGGTCGTAATGCAGTGAAAATGTACCATTTCGTTGCCTTCCTTCTTCAAGGAAACTTTTTGAAACCTATCAATCACCGTCAGGATGTTCAGAGGTCAGTACCTTGCGTTCCATTTCTGCCTGTTTGTTTGCGTCGAAACGTTTGTTATGTATCTGATGTAAAATGACATATGTAAAGCCACAGAAAGCCTTTTCGAATATATCTTGTTGCCATCTCAATATGTTCTGCTGAAATAAGTTTCCGCCACTTCTTGAAATTTCCTCATCCCTCATATATTTCAATATGTGTAATATGCCAGCATCCTTGTATGCAACTGCAAAGAAGTAGTTATCTTTGATTTTCGCAAATGCAAATGATGGAAACTCTGGAAGCAAGGTCTCATACTTCTTTGAACTTTTCTCTCAGTTTGAACAAATTTGAAGCTATCTTTATGATCAGGTGCAAACAGGATTTTATGGCTAATTGGTGTGTATACTGTCAGTCTTAACTAGAACATTCATCCAATATTTCCTTAAAGCTTTTTGATGTCATCATCTCTTCCAATTTGCTGGTGGTGGGGTGCTTGTGAGAAAAGATGGAGGGACTTGTACTGTACAAATCCAAGCTGAAGTAATGTTCTGTCCAAAAATTGGATATCCCTCATTGTTCCAAGTCATTACAAAGACGTCTCATCTGAACCGTTTACGGTTGATTATCTTCTTGAATCACTTAACACTTGTAGGATGAAAAGAAT